CAACTCTTTTTTTTTCCGGAAGTTAAAAATTTTAAAAGGAAAATCCGGATTTTTAAAGTACTATTTCCAGCCCTGGTCTGATTCATTCAATTTATTTCGCAATCCCAACCCTTACTCAAAAAAACAACTCTATATTAGAGTATCTTTTTGTTGAAAAACATCTGAAGCCATCAATTGTTTATGTAACAATACAATGTGTGGATATAACGCTGTCAGGGATTGTCAAGTCAATAGTTTAAACAATATTCTAAATAAAAACGTTTTAAGTATATTCATTCAAAGTTAATTGGGATAAAAAAATTCACAGAAATATTGAATAAAATTAGGAATTCAATTATTAGAATAGAATATAAATAACTAACAGGTACAAAATTACTGGGCCAGGAACGATGTTAATAATTATTGATGATAACGGCGACGAGTTCCAAGAAATTCTTGCGTTTTTTCCAAATAGAATACAAATTATTATTATTCTATTGTCATAATTCGTCAATTTGGCGCAGTCAGTGGCGACACAATGTCTTTGCGAGTGGCCGATTGTTCCTTGCCGGAACAATGCAAGCACAATGGTTTCCATTGTCAATAAAAATAGATTTTTTAAAAGTTTCTTTTTACCTTCTTTCGAGCATTCGACCAATTAAATAACAATATAAATCATTAAAAATATATTTTTTCAACGGGTTTTTTTATTTTACAATAAAATTTTAAAAATTATTTTTTAAAATTACGGAATTAAATATTAAATATTAAATATTTACAAGAATCGAGTATCAAGTATTAAATAAAGTATTAAGTATTAAAAAAAATTAAATTAAATTAAAAATTAGAGATTAGATTAGATTAGAGAGAGATTAAGGTTACTTTTTTTTTTTTTTTTTTAAAAATATTAAAAAATAAATGTGTTTTTTTTTTTTGAGAGAAATATATTTTCCTTCCAATAAATTAAATATAGATGATGATTTCATCTTAAGGTTATTTATGTTATAATTTAATTTTGCCGAGAGAATTTTTTCTTTTATGTTGTGTTTTTCTTTTTTCAAGTTTGAATTGCTTAATTTTATCAAAAATGTCAAGAGCTTCTTTCAACAAATTCTTTTGAAGAGAGTTAATGATATTGTCACTATTGCGGTTCTTTAGATCCTCGTATTCCAAATTAGCACTATTGATTATTTCGTCGAGTCGTTGTTCTTCTTCTTGTTCATTTCCATTGTCATTGTCACTTTCATTGATCAAAAAAGCAAAAATAATTAATAATTCTTCGCAAATTTCCATACTTTTTGGCATAGCACCAAATTTCAATTTATATTCATGTGCTGTTGCGCGTAATTTGGATTTGAATTGTTGGACTTCTTGGTGTAAAAGAATTTGAGTGTAAATGTTTGGATTAAATTTTTTTATTATGGACAAATAATTATTTTTGATGTTGTTCATTATCGATGATGAGGCAGCGTCGAGTTTCTTTTGATCTGTTGTTTTATGTTCGAATTTTTGATGGAAAGCTTTTTTGTTAAATTTGATTTCATCAAGCAAATAATTTGAATATTTTTGATTACAGCAAGTCATTTTTATTTAATTTAATTTTGTGATAATGGTGTATCTTATATAGATAGATAAAGTGGTAGTATTAATAGTAGAAATATTATTATCAAAATAATATTTGAAAAAAATATTTAATATTCGATTTTTTAAATCCTATTGTAAAATAAAAAAAAAAACAAAAAAATTTGTTTTTATAAAGAACTTTTTCTGGAAAAATAATTTTCGAGGGTAAAACGAAAAACGAAAAGATGACACTTTATATAAACATTTCACAATAATCCATTTATCATCAGTTCATTGTTGTTGTTATTAATTTGTTGTTATAGAATTCAAAAAAAAAAATTCCGGATATGATGTATAGATAGATATGTATAGGTATTAATATGTATGCGTAAATAGTCGGTCGTACATTATTAATATATTATTTGCATTAATATTGTTTTATCATTTCATCGTAGGTTGTACAAGAAGGAGGAGTTTACAAAAATATAAAAATAAAATATTTATTTGTTGTTACGCGAAGCATGGTGGACATTCTTTGTTGTTACATAAATGTTACACCGACTATTTATATTTTTTAAAGTACTAAAACCAGTC